CTATCAGTCACCACCGCCACCGCCCCTGCCACCCTCACTCCTGCTCCCACCGTCTGTCACCACCGTCTCCGCCTGTTACCTCCACCTCCACCTTTACCGCCACCACTCCACTCCCACCGTCTGTCACCCCACCTGCCTCCCCCGTCTCTACCTCCCTATGTCTGACACCACTGCCTCCGCCTCTGTCGCCACCACTCCTACTCCCCCCGTCTGTCACCACCACCTGCCTCCACCGCGTCCGCCTCTGCCGCCACCACTGGCATTGTCTGTCACCACTGCCTTCGCCTGTGTCGCCACCACTCCTCTTCCCACCGTCTGTCATCACCATTTCCGCCAACATCTGCCATCACTTTTACCGGCATTGTCTGTCGCCTTCGCCATCATTTTTGACACTAATGCTTCCGCCGCCACTTCCGCCATCACCGCTTCCGCTGCCCTCTCTGTCTCCACCGTCTTTGTCTCCACTACCTCAGCCAGCACCATCTCCGCCCCATTGCCATCGCCGCCTGTGAATGCACAGCATCAACCGATGCCCTCTCTACTAACAGCACCTCTAGCGGCAAAGCCTCTGCTTCCTTCTGTTTCCACCGCTACCCCCTACCACATTTGCCGTCACTATCTTCAGGTCCGTGCCCTCTACTGCAATAGCAGCAATGCCCCTCTTCTTGGCAACTTGTGGAATCGCCTGAACTAGCCTGAACCATTACCGCGAAGGTGACATAGCTGACATTTACGACATTGCCAGCATTATAATAACCTTAATATATTTTGTTGGCGTTGACATTAGTTCGATCAACATTTTTAGCTCTGGTGACTGCCAAAAAAATTGTAGACGGGAGTGTCCTTATGGGCGATTCCCCTTTTGACCCTAGCCCAATCATCTCCATCACAGCTCACGATGAGATATTGAGGTACGGTGACGCAAGGTCGACTGTGGTCGAGTGAGGAAGTGAGTATTGATTTTGGTCGCGTCCATTTCTAAGGTAATTAGTCCGTAAGTGTAGGATATGCTGTATCCAAGGATGTGGCGATTTTCTTCCCTTTCTTCTCTCGCTCGAAAGGAGATCGGGCGCCGTCCTTCATATCGGCTTGCCGTTTTCTTCCTCTTTAAGCATCATTCCTGGCGGGATATCGCCCCAGCAGGGCAAACTCTAGGCTCCCGACATGCATGTTTGTGCTCTGCGTGTAAGTGTGTGTGTGAGAGTGTATGAAAGGAAAGAGGGAGGGATAAGCATGAAGAAATGGTTGCGTAGGCTTCCGCGGCCGGAGTTTGTGTTGTCTAGGCTATCCGGGGTGAGTCACGTCACTGACATGGTGGCTAACGTTTCGGCCAGCGTATTGTGGCCTTCTTCAGAGCGTACTGCAGCAGAAGCTGCTGAAGAAGGCCACAATACGCCGGCCGAAACGTTAGCCACCATGTCAGTGACGCGGATCACCCCGGATAGCCAAAAAACACAAGGATGAAGAAGGAAGCATCGCGGGCGTTTTGTGACCCGTTTGTTAGCACACTGCTAGAGCGTTCACCTGTTTTTGATAGGTGAAACTATTGAACATCACTGATAAAGAGAAGCTAGTCGCTAGAATTATCCTCCAGAGAATGGTTCAAGTCGATCAGCCATGTAGCTAGTATCAAAAATCCGCCACTGACAAGAGTCGACGACTTTGGGACGGAAGGGATACACGCAATGCCGCTTCTTCGAAATGTAAAAATGGCTGTCGCCGTAAAGACTGCACAATAAAAAGGCGTGCAAAAATATCAAAGGACTAAACAGTTTTCAGAAAAATTATTTTTGTTTTAATTTGTTAATGGAAGAACAATCTTCGGAACGTAAATTTATTTCAAAATATTTTAAAATGAAAGATCTGTTGAATTAGTAACCTCTATATCTGTCATCTCTATTATCATCATCATCTTGTCAGACAATTGTCACAACTGAAGTCGTAGGCTTCCGCGACCAGAGTCATGTGGGTGATCTGAGCCGTCCGGGTGACGCCGCGTCGAAGGCTGAGTTGCCGACGTTTCGACCGTCCGGTCGTGGTCTTCCTCAGGGCTGGTATGCATACGACCATCCTGTCGTGGTCTTCCTCAGGGCTGGTATGCATACCAGCCCTGAGGAAGACCACGACAGGATGGTCGAAACGTCGGCAACTCAGCCTTCGGCGCGGCGTCACCCGGACAGCCCAGATCACCCACAATTGTCACAACTTGCCAACTGCCATTACTCCCCTGAAGTATGAGAATCACTCCTGCAGCATCGCAGCCTCCATCGTCGCCTTCAATCTCGCCCCCCCTCCCAGTTCCTCTCCAAACATCAATAATGTCACGTTTCCTCGCTTGTGCTTCTCGAATCGCGCGCCTACGCCGCCTCGTTCCCCGGCGTTGTCACCTCCTTGCAACTTCTCGTAGGCGTCGTCAGCAGGAGGCAGGCAGAGAGGAGAAGAAGAAAAAAACAGAGGAAACTCTATTTCAGAGTTGCCTTCCTCCATTCTTCCTCGCCACAAAGAACACGAGCTAGAATCCGGGATCGTGAAATACAGGGGGACTTATCGTGATTCCGCTCTTGGCACAGGGACAACAGAGTGACTCTTTACGAGGTGCGTTGCGAGACAAATTCTCTCCGGCCCG